TAATATTTTTGATTGATCTAAAAATGATTTTGTTTTTCTAAAAGTGTCTTGCTAAAATATTTTCTCAAGCAAATCAATATGTTAAACCAGATTGGTTTCTTTTTTTGGATGAGATATCTGATGAAGGTTTATCAGCAACAGATGATGAATTTAAACGATATTTTAATCGTTTTGATTCAATATTTTAATATGAAAATTGTGAACAAAAATGTATTGTTACTCCGAGTGATAATGATGTTGGCGAAGAATATTATGGTGATAAACAACCAATATTAAGACAACGTTTTCGAAATTATTTCGATCAAACTATTGCTTTATATCGTCAGAATGATATTGAATATCTTAAAGTATAATATCGTTTAGAATAAGTCATAGTGTTTTTATTTTCTTAAAGTTACGATTCTGTTTAATTTCAGTTAGATATCGATATGTTTGAATCCTATGTAGATGATAAGCGTGCTGCAATTATGAAACAAATACAAAATCGTTCATTATCATCATCATTTCGCATAGTACTCAATAATTGGCCTTTATTAACACATTCTGCTCGTTTTGTTAAACCATTTATAAATGAATTAGAACCAAATCTTATCCTTAATGGTGATAGTCATCATGTATGTAAATTTAATTAACAACAAAACTAAAAAGAATACATATATATGTATACATGTCTAGTTTTATATATTTTTATATGATCGAATTAATATGACAACTCGTATCTTAGCACGAGAATATTTACTACAAACAATTTTTTCAATAGATCTTAATCCAGACCGTTTTATTTATGAAATATCAGTGCCAACATGTTCATATCGAATGGATGTTATTAGAATTGGATATACTGTTCTTTTACTTGATAGCTATATGATTTAATCATATATATATATAGTAAGGATAAAATACTTTATTTCTTTCTAATATTTATTTAGCTAATAAAACAGCTCATTTAACTATTCTTTCAACACCAAGACGATATATAAGCCACGATCTAGTTTGCTCAATCGAGGTCATTAGATTGAGCAGGTTATGGAATTTGTTTTGTAATTAGTTTAATTTTAAGTTTATTATGTCCAAGACAATCTTTCTCGAAATGGTTACCTTTCAATCCATGACTAATTAGTTGAACAGAGGAAGAGAATGAATTGTATTCAGAAAAAAAATCTGCTCTCTTTTGTTACTGACAATTATGAATGCTTAATTTTGTGTAATTTTTTTTATAGCATTAATTATAATTATTATAATTAAATAATATGTATAGATTATCTTCTTTCTTTCGAATAATCGAATTATCAATAGAGTTTTTCCTCTATCAAAAATACAATTGATGATGCATTGTTAAATTCATAATGAAATCCTATTGTATATGAAACAATCTGTTTACAGATTTCGAAAAGAATAAAATAGAAAGAAGCAAGGTATCTACATCGATACTGTCGGGGCTTTCTGAATAGATATAATTTACATGTAGTACCGTTTCCTGACAAATAGTTCTTATTAAAGACGCTGAAATGTTATTGTATGATAAAACGGAAGAAAAGTACCTTTTCGAAAACGTCATTGAATAATTAAAAATAAAATACTTCTCTGTAGGGTGTGGATTTGGGTGTGGCTGTGGGTGTGACAACTTGACTTACAATCACACCCACACACACCCACACCCACGCCCACGCCCACACTCACACCCACACCCACGCCCACGCCCACACACACTCGCACCCACACTCTTCGTGTTGAATCACAATTTCCGAGCATCCTCAGCAGAGACGTATGTGATGATATATGTGTGATAAAGATTTCCGTGGCAACCCTCACCCTCAAGAATTGAAACATATCGCATGATATTGCTTTGAATCTTTATTCTTTGATAAACACACTCACACCCTCAAGACTTTTAGGATGTCGAAATCGATATTGTCGAAAACCGAAAGGTTTGCGGAACTTCTAAAACCAAGAAGGTATTTTCGTTAATCCTTACAGAGGTCGGAAACTTTTTTGGGAGCCCTTCACGAGTTTCAGAAGGAATTTGAGTTTTTTAGGAAACGGATTTTTTTGGAGAGTACCGAAAAATTCTTTATACAATAAAAAACGATGGATATTTTCAGGAAGAAAAACAGTTTTAAACATTCAATTGGAAAAAGTTGTTCGTACTCGATGATTGTCTTCGATTATTTTCTTAGCTACATATGCAGCGACAACGATAAGATCATCGCACAAGCGATTTAAATAATCATACATTTGTTTTCCATTGGACACCGCTGACCAGGCACACATTGCCGCGGTTACAACAACACCGGCAACAATGAAACCAATCGATACACCTCGAGCAACAGTTATTACACCCACTCCAGCGTTTCGAAGAAAATCATCACTAACCGAAAGGCCGGCGATACCAACAGTAGTCACACCTTTAAGAACAACCGATGTTCCACTGCTCACCTTCGACGCCGTAGCAGTCCCTCGATATTGAAACGATTTCTGGAAAGCTGAAGTTTTGAAACCTTGCTCAGTGATTACGATCTGGAATTGTGTTAGATAATCTTTGAATTCATCAGCTTGACCAGTCCACCAATTCATGAAACGTGAACGACTATTAACACCAAAGACTTGACGAATTTCTTCCCGTCCAAAATATCTCGGTAGCAAATCAAGCAAGGGCACCACAGCAGCTACACCAGCATAAATTTTATATTTCAGAACATTAACAACATATCCACGACGGAAACAGGTATTTATAACTGTAGCTGTGGCACGCGTAGCCGTTGCTAGTAGACGATCTTCGTGAAAATCCGGTGGTAAATGTTGGATATCATGGATCAATTCATCCAAGTCAAAGTTTCCATATGGCATTGAAAATAACATTTCATAAGAACGATTTCTCATATAAGAACAGGATGTTAAGTATAGTTTGTGTAGTTGTTTACCATTGATATCAGAAGTGACTGATTTTCGAATACGTTCTAACACTAACTTGGCATATTTATCTCTCTGTGTTTGACTAGCTGAATTGAAATCGATTCCAACATCTTCTTGAAATGTTCTAAGAAATAGATCATCCGCTTTATTTCGTACAAACCGGCATTGTCGATGTAATTCATTGACAATATATTCTTCCCACGATCGATGAATCTCAGTACATTTATGTTCAAAAACAATAATGTATAGATCACAGTCGGATTTTCTGATTTCATCAAAATAATTTCCGCATTTCAAGCATTGATCATATTCTGTCGCTCCTTCAATGTCAACAAACGTAATTTTACTCCCATTAGAATACTGATGCTCGAATTCTAATCGGCATAATGTGCTTTTACCATAACGCATTGGAGACATTAGTTCTTTCTCCGATGCCGTGTTCAATTTGAAATTTTCCTCGTCATCGTGAAGTCCTCTTAAATGATTTAGTAAAGAAGATTTTCCTGCGCTTGTTTCACCGATCAAACCTATTCGAAGTGACATCATGGGGTAAATATGTGCACCAAGATCCTTTTCCATTGCTTTGAATACATCAATGATTTTGGGCTTGAATTCGGAACTATTCATTAATTGCGATTGCCAGCTAATCATAATATGATATAATGAAGAAAAATAATTTTCAAAGTCAACTTGTTCAATGTAATATAATAATAATTCACAAACTTCAATGAATTCTTGACATTTTCGAATGCTATTAGCAGAACCGTTCAAATGATTGATATATTCAACAAAATAATCGTTTAATGTCTCATCGTTCACTTCCAATTTGATACCCTTTAGCAGATCAATTAGTTTATTGGCACGGTTGATTGCATCTGCAATAGGCCCAACATTGGAAACACTCTTCTGTCCTTTTCCTCTCAAGGTTTTTACTAAACATTGAAGATGAACTATTCGACATGAAAGATCACTTTTCAATGTTCCTGGCATCAAATTTAATTCTGAAAGCAAATCGACGCCATACTTTTGATAGAATTGTTTCCATAAAAGATCCGTCAAAAATTTATTTTCTCGTGGGCCTTCCGATGACGAATTGACACAGTACATGCAGTAAAATTGAGCGTTCTTTTGGCTATTACATTTCTTCATCGATTCAATACAGTTTCTGCAATATTGATAACCACAATTCTTCTGTGGACATTCATATAGTAACTGGTGAATGAGAATACCAAACGGCCTGATACATGCACAGCATGCATTCCATATCTATCAAGTACAAAATGAGTTTGAGGTAGCCTACACTGCAAAAAAACAGCGTATAATAATAAACCCTTAAAGAGTTTGGGAAAATGCAACGTAGCCTAAACCTTTTTTTTACCTTACACAAAATTTTATAAAACCTTTCCTAAACCCTTTCATCGTGGTGTAGGAAAGGGTATATGAATTTTATAAATCCTTTTATATACCCTTTGCAGGGGTTTATGAAAGGGTATTTGAGGTTCATAAACCCTTAAAGGGTTTAGGCTACGTTGTATTTTCCCAAACCCTTAAAGGGTTTAGGCTACGTTGCATTTTCCCAAACCCTTAGAAGGGTTTATTAATTCCATAAACCCTTTCATATACCCTTCACAAGGATATATGAAAAGGTTTATGAACTTCAAATACCCTGTTAGCTCTAATATGTATAGAACGAAAGAAACAAGCAGTGTCACTGATGTTATGTGACAGAACGATGAAAAAGATGACCTTCGTGGGAATCGAACCCACACCTCCTGCTATCCGGGCAGTTGTCCTAAGCCAATTAGACTAGAAGGCGCAT